TTTGTCACTGTTTGACCTTGTCCCCTGACCTCCGACGAGCAGAGAGCCATTCACACTTCATGTGACGACCTGAAAGTGCACCTAGCCTGGCACAAGCGCTGTGGTGACATCACCTCCACTTGGTGGCGAATGGTGATGGTTACTGCTGTTGGTTTGTGCATTTGCGTGTACGTGTATGTGTGCACCTGTGTGTGTTTTGTTCTTCTGTGTGTGTGTGTACAGCTGTGTGGGTTAGTTTGGAGCGGTAGTGTAAGTGGTTAGTGCCCTGCTCTCCAAACCCGGCGTCCTGAGTTTGATTCCCGCTGAACCTAGTCCTGGGCCTCCCCTAGGTCGACTCAGCCTCAAATGAGTACCTGGGGTGCGGTGTACACATCGCCACTTGGGAGACAAAGGCGGTCAGGCGTGGTGCTAGCCACCCACCCCCTTACATGCCGTGTCGGCCTTCATAGGTGATCGCTAACAGCACTTGCCCCAAAAGCATGTGGACGCTATAGGAGGGATCTTTGTTGGTATGTATATATGTGTGTTGGTGTGTATGTATGCGTGTGTCTGTATATCTTGGGAGCAGTAGTGTAGCGGTTAGCGTGCTGCACTACAAACCCGGCGACCCAAGTTCAATTCCCGTTCACGGGCAACACCAGTGACAATTATCTAAACCGGTTCCGAACCTCCCCTAGGTCTACTCAGACTTAAATGAGTACCTGGTGTGGTGTGCAAACATCGCCACTCGGGAGACAAATGTGGCCAGGCATGGTGCTGGCCACCCCATCGCGTGCCATCCCGGCCTTCACAGGTGCTCGCTAACAGCACTTGTCCCACAGTCTGTTAAAGCTATACAGGAAATATTTCTCTTTGCTTTTTGTCAATATACGTGTGTATGTATAGGTATGTGTGTGTGTTGGTATGTGTGTTGATGTATGTGTGGACGTGTGTTGGTGTGTATGTGTGTGTGTCGGTATGTGTGTATGTGAGTTTGTTCGGGCTCTGCGCTGTGATCCTCGTCATCTGGGTTCAATTCTGGGCCAAGATGCGTGACATCCGTTCAAGTGGCAGCGGCTTAACCTGTCTCGGGCTTCCCCTGTACGTTTCTCCTCGTCCTTCCACGACCACCGCGCACTGCGCGTAAACAACACCAGGACTCGGGAGGGGGAGATGAAGACAGCCGGGTGCCGTGCTCTGTCTACACCGCCCCGTTTATGCCCCGTGCGCCGACGTTTAAGAGGCACTTGCTGACGTCACTTCCCGCAGTGTGGCTGCACGTTGGCATCTTTGTGCGCCCGTGCCGGGTCTCTAACGTAGGCACCGGTTTGCATGGAAGTCGACGGTGCTCATCTTATGGACAGACTCTCCCCCCGCCATAGGAACGTGCAACTTCCACAGTCACTGGAACTTCCACGGTTAACATCTCGGCACCGTGGCACCATGGGGTGCCACAAGCGGCAGAGTGGGGTGCCAAGGTGTTCACTGCCTCGCCTTGTCTACAGGAGGTCGTGGGTTCTGTCCCGACCCTGACGCCTGGATATGCCGACTTTGCATGTTCTCCCCGTGGTCGCGTGGATTTTTCCCCAATTCCTCCAGTTTTTTCCTCCACATTTAGAAACATGTGTTTTAGAGCATTTGGCTGATATAAATTTCCACATGATAAGCCACTTTATTGAGGTATAATTTGTGCCCAGGTCGCTTCTGAAAAAGAGCTACATAGCTCAGTGGGCCTTACGTGGCAATATAAAAAGAGTTTGTAGTTTAGGTTACTGAACGGGAGATGGGCATTGATGCCTCGACGCTCGTTTGAGCAGCAGGAGCCCACTCCGTCACTCGTCGGCTGCTGGTAGTGATGCCCTTGTTGGCTCCGGGGGCACCGGCGTCACCACCACCACAGCAGGCAGAGAGTGCCAACTCCGTGTTCCTGGCGCCTGCTGCCTCCACCACGAACGAAAACGAGGGCTTTAGCGCCGCCGCTGAATGCTCGACAGAAATCCCGGGGAGATTAACATTCAGCGGAGGGCTTTGATGGCGCTGCACGGCGCCGCGATGCTTAGGAGGCACGGTTAAACGGAAGTGCATTACGCGCTAATCTGCAGGGGGGGGGGGGACGCTTCGCCGCCGCGTCAGGTGACATAGGTACGTCGCCCGAATCCCATTAATTTCCCCCCCCCCCGGCTTACACGCGCTTACGAGCCGATAGCGCTCGAGGAGCCACGCTCGTCCAGCCCGCGCACGGGACGAGGTGGGCGAGCGCGGTGCCCAGCGCCACGCTCGCCCACCTGGATACCTGGATACCGCTTCGTGGGGAAGTTTAGTGGTTTTATGCTAGATATAGGCTGACTCCTGCCATAGGAATGTGGAATTTACACTTCCAGCTTCGGACAATTCTGCTCATTCTCACTCGTATGCTCACTCTCCCCACTCACTCTTCCAACTCTAATCACTTGACTCCGCACTCGCTCCCCCCTGGCTCTCCCTCTCGCGAGGAGTGACTTCTGCCATCTGCCTTGGCGCTGTTCATCCCTGGCCAGGGTCCAGGCCTCACCGCCATTGACTCCCGACCTCCCTATCACATCCCCCCCCTCCTCCCTCCCCACCCCTCATTCCCCCTCCCCCTCCATTCCACCCATTCCCCCGCGGCGCTCGGCCCAGCCAGTTTACTCAGCTCCCATCCGAACACAAATCTCATTCGTGGAGATTTATGCTCCGGTGGTGACGGCTGCCAACAGCCAGGGAGATGGATGGCCGCGGCGCTGCCGACTCCGGGAACGGCCCAGGAGCGCACGCGCTCTGTGCCGGCACGTGCTACGCGGCTTATGGAACGGGCCCGAAGGGAGCTCTGACCATGGCACGAGCGCACGGATACAGGGTCGGAGGAAGATCCGAGATGCCGGCACGCAGGGATGACGAGTGGTGGCGAGAGATCTCACTTCCGGCCTCCCATCGTCTCTCAAAGAAGACGGGTTCGTGTTGTGTAATTCAAGAGACAAGGACGAGTCTCATTTGCAAGAGCGACCTGGGGCTTTAGGTCTGCCAGTAGGGGGTGATGATTGTTGCTGCGTGTTGAATCGAGATTCATTAATTTGCAATGACATCACAAAATCTTTAACGTCCACTGTGAAGCAGCGCGTAGTATCATCGCGGTTATTGAGCACCGCGGTAATAATCGGGGTGGCCGCTGGATTCGAGCCAAGAACCTCGGCAGCGAGAGGCAAACGCGCCGCCGCTGAGCCGCGTCCCTGCTCCTTTGATGGAAGAGGGAACTGAAGAGGAAGAAGAAGAGAGACGCGACGCGAGCTGCATCTCGTTCGTCAGTTGTGCGTTCTTTCACGGTTTTCGCTCGTTCAGGTTGATTCAACCGCCCCGCACCGTCCGTTGGGACCCCGCGTGGGAACTCGGCAAGGCGCTCGTGTCTGCAGCCACAGCATGGATATCACGCGAGGTTCCCTGTTCCCACATTGGCTTTAGGTTATAGTTTTATGGCCAAAATCCTCAGCGTAAAACCTCCACCAGCCGACGAGGTTGGCACGTTTACACGGATATGATTATTTCCACGCGGCCCACGTATCGATGAGAGCGATACAGCCTCTACTCCTCCGACTCCTTCTACTCCTCCTCGCCGGTGGCTCGAGGCTTTTCCGCAACCGAGCTCAACATCGTGATGGTTCTTGACGCCTATCGGGCCGCGCGCGTCCTCGGTCGCTGGACCCCATCGCCTGGAACTTTCCACCGCTGACGCAAACTGAAGAGTTAGAAGCACCTCTCTCTCAAAAACCAAACGTGAGCTCAAATCTCAGCCATTCTTCGCGGGGCTCCGCGGCCCCCACGTGTCTCGTCGTCACGACGATGCCCTCGCGTCTTCTTGGACGGCGCGACCCTGGAGGGGGCCACGTGACGCCAGATCGCGGGGTCACACGGGTTCTTTTTTTGCGCTGGCTATGGACGAGGAGCAGGAGGAGGTTGAGTTAGGGTTGGATTGGCAATGCCGTGCGTTGTGCGCGGCGGGTGCACGTGGGGTGGTCCATTTGGGACCCACCAGGAGGTCGAAGTCTCAGCCCTGATGCAGCGTGTCCGCGTGCGTCCGCGCATCCGCCCACGTGCGCGCACGTGTGTGCATGCGTGTTTGTTTTATTCTGCGCTCAAAGTACACCTAGCCTGGCACAAGCACCTTGATGACGTCACCACCACTTAGTGGCAAATGTCAGTGTTTCCAAGTGTTTGCATGTCCATGTGTGTCTGCGTGTGTGTCTGTGTCTGCGCGTGTGTCTGCTTGTAACTAATTAGGGTCCCCTGCTTCTCCCCCCCACCTCCCTTGCAGGTTGAGGATTTGTCACGATTTCCCGGTTGCAATTCCATTCAAATCTCTTTTCGTCTTGTTACATTGTGGTGCAGCCTCTAGTGGCTGCAGGATGATACACGAACGAATCGCAGCACACGTAGAGTTGTTTTCGTGCACCTCTGCCAACACGGCAGCATCGTCAGAGAATCAGAGCGTAGGATTCTGTATCATCGTTCACGCGGATGCATGCACGTACGCATGCTCATTGATTTCGTTCGATGTGCGTATGCCTATGTGCTTGTAGGTGTGTATGTATAATTTAGCTTTCACGAGAAAACCGTTCACACGCACGTGTGCCTATGCTTCCGTGTGGTAGTGCAGTGGTTAGCGCGTTGCGCTATGAACCCGGCGACGAATATTTGAACCGGTTCTGGGCCTCCCCTAGGTCGACTCGGCCTCAAATGAGTACCTGGTGTGGGGTATAAACATCGCCACTGGGGAGAAAAAGGTGTCGTGCCGGCCTACTCGCTAACAGCACTTGCTGCGACAGTCTGTTCAGGCTATAAGGGGGATCTTTGTGTGTCCTTGGTGTGTGCATTTGAGTGTGCACATTCACTCGTTTATAATTCACCTTTCACAGAATAATTTTTTTAACTTGCACGCTCGTGCGTCTGTGTCTCCTTTTGTGCGCCCCCCCCATCTCCATCTCCCTTCCCTCCCCACGCGCGACGCACAGGCGAGCACTGCGAAGTGAACGTGCGCTCCGGCCGCTGCGTTCCCGGCGTGTGCCGGAACGGCGGAACCTGCGTGAACCTCCTGGCCGGCGGCTTCAAGTGCGAGTGCCCGTCCGGCGGCTACGAGTGGCCGTACTGCGAGGTGACGGCGCGCAGCTTCCCACCCCAGTCCTTCGTCACGTTCCGCGGCCTGCGCCAGCGCTTCCGCATGACCGTCACCCTCACGTAAGTCGGCGCCACCCCCCCCGGACCACCCTCCCCCTGAGCCCCCCCCCCCCGCCTCCCCCCCCACCACTCCGCGTGGCACTCAGCACGAGCGTGCGTCCGGTACCGTCGATGACCCCCAGCTCCTGATCTCGAATGACCGCCTGCTGAACTACGGCTCTTTAACTCCTCTGGTTGGCAAATGTTCCAACTAACCCTTGGCTCCTGACCTTCAACCCCTATCTACTCACCTATGATCTCTATCTCCTGACCTTCAACCCTGGCTGCTGACCTGTAACCTTTCACTCCTGATCTGTAACCTTTAACTCCTGGCTTATAACCCTTCACCTCCATGTGCACTACTGACTCTCGCCGCTCTCCTCCAACCTTCGCTTGAAGTTTGATGGCAGCTTGATGCTGGGACTTGCGGCAACGTGAAACCCCGACTCGGACATCGATCCGAGTGGAGAGGAGGCCATGTCCCCGAGTGACGTTAATCAGTGGCAGGCAAAAAAGGCTGTCCAGGCCCGGACGCCTGTGGTGATGAGCTCAGCGTTGTTGGCGCTATTGCTGGAGACGTTAGGAATTGGAATTTTGCGAACAATGGTGCGCTGTCTGCGAGCGACGCTAATCTTAGAATAGAATGCGACAACAACGAACCGAATCGGCGTGAAATTACATTCTCGGGGAGCGCCAGCGCCGCTGCCGCCGCCGCCGCCGTGCGTCTGTGATGCCGCGAGCCCCGGCGATTTGAGTGCCGCCTGGCGGCGACCGCGCCGGGCTCAGGGCACGGCGGCCATGACAGCACCGACCTCCTCGCCATGCGACCTCCTCGCCATGCGTCCACCGCTCGTCCCGCGGGTCGGGTACGCGGCCCGGCCTTGTGCCGTGCCGTTTGAGAGCAAGGGCCGGCCAGTCCGGTCTCGGCCAAAGCTACCGATGCTCGCCAAGCCCCGTGCGGCCACGGGGCCCTAGCCCGGGTCAGGCTGCGTGGCCTGTGCTGCTCAGCAGAGTTGGTGGTGACTGGAATGGGGGCGGCCGTGGGCCGGCTGATGAATTGGTGTTGGTGGAACTCAGTCAAACCAGGTCCACTTGGGTGGTGGGCGGTAGTGGAGTTGGGAGACGTGGGGAGGAGCGGCTTGGGAAGGTTGGTTTTGGGGGGGGGGGGTCAGAGTACCCCCCCCCCCCACCCCCCGCACAGTACATGATTGGGGCTTACACGGGTTGATGAGTGCGGGGAGCGATGTCACGTGGGGTAGGGGAGTCTCAGTGAGTGTGTGTAAGTTCGCTTTCATAGGGGCTCGCTAGAAACACTTGATCCAACAGTCTGTTAATCGCATAAGCAGGGAACCTTTGTATAAGTAGTTGTGTGTGAGTGTGTGTGAGTATGTGTGTCAATGGGTATAAGTTCATGTTTCAAGTGTATTTTGTGTAACCCGGCGAGAACTTAAGAGACCAGGAAGTCTCATTTGCAAGGGTGACCTGGGTCACGAAATTGACAAAAGGAATAACAAACAAAAGAAATCTGTACAAAAACAATTGCATCACATGATGAGGAATTGGAAATATTGCACAAGCACAAATGGACATTTACATCAAAGCTGAACATTAATTCCCTGCTGCGCAAATCTGCTGGTGCAGATGCCCTCCGTATTGAGCACAGCACAAATTACAAAACTAAGCTACGTAAACATGAAACAGATTTAAGGTAACTTTATCACTACTATTTAAACAAACAAGGACATATGTGTGAGAGTCTGAGCACATGCGGGTGAGCGAGTGTGTGTGTGTGCTGGCCTTCATAGGTGCTCGGTAACAACACTTGCCCCAACAGTCTGTTCAGGCTATCGGGGGGATCTTTCTCTGCGTGTGGGGAGTGGTGATGCCGTGATTAGCGCACCGCGCTACAAACCCGGTTACCCGAGTTCGATTCCCGCTCACGGGCCAACATTGATGACGAATATCTGAACTGGTCATGGGCCTCCCCTAGTTCTATTCAGCCTTAAATGAGTTCCTCGTGCGGTATGTGAACATCAGTCCCGGGGAGACAAAGGTGGTGGCCGGGCGTGATGCTAGCCACCCACTCCCACATGTTCCGTGCCCGCCTTAATTGGTGCTCACGAACAGCACTTGCCCCACAAGAGCCTGCAAAAGGCTATCCGGGGGACCTTTGTCTTAGTGTGTGAGTGAACGTGTGAGAGCGTGTGAGAGCGTGTGAGTTGGTGAGTCACCTGAGAAAATTGAAATATGAAGTTGGCCTGGGTTTCTTTGCGGATGCTCACCCATTCCTGGTGTGGTGTGCGAGCGTCCTGCAATCAGAGAGACAAAGGCGGCCGGGCACGGTGTTGGACTGCACCATCCAGTCGAGTACCTTGCCAGCCTTAGCATGCGTTGGCTAACAAAGCAGCACTTCTCCCAACAGTTTTCAAGGTTAATTTGGGGATCTTTATCTTTGCCCGTGTGAGTGTGTGTCTTTGTGTTATTGTGAGCGTGTTTGTGCGTTCGTGGGTGTCGCCTTTTTTTGCGTAACAGCACGTGTGTACCTTTGCGCATGTGTGTGTGTTCGTGCGTTTGTGTCAGTCGAGGAGCGGTAGTGTCGTGATTTGCGTGCTACGCTATGAGCTTGATGATCCGGCCAACGCCAGTGACGATTATCTGAACCGATACTGGGCCTCCCCTCGGTCGACCCAGACTTACATGAGTACCTGGTGCGATGTGTAAGCGTGGTGCTAGCCAACCACCTCTTCGTGTTTCATTCCGGACTTCATCGGTGCTCGCTAACAGCACTTGCCCCAACAGTCTGTTGAAGGCTATATGGGGGATCTTTGTCTTTGTTTTACATTGGTGTGACCGTGCGACAGTGAGCGTGGTGCATACTCGCACGCTTGCGTGTACGTCCGTGTGTTTTTGTGTGTTGCGCTCGCGTTTGCGTAAGAGTACCTGTGTGCGTGTGGGGGAGCCTTGTGCATGACTGCACGTGCTTGCGGTTGGAATCCGACATGGCCCAGGGTGACAGGGGGGGCGGCCGTCACCACCGCGCCTGTCATACGCTCCTTTTCTCTTCATTACCGACTCGTCACTACTGGGTTACGAGTGGGTGGTGTGAGTGTGGCCCGGGGAGATCGGCACGGTGACGGCTCTCTCAGCCGGACTCGCGCGGACTCGCGCGCACCACGCTCGCAGCTCACGGAGTTAACTCAGGGACTCACAACGCACAGACTAACAGCTTGTGGCTCACAGCTCACTGCCCCAGACTCATGCTTTCAGGCTCATGCAGCCATCTGGAGTGAACCATCTGGAGTGAAAAAAAGTGTATAAGTACAAGTTGCAAAAGTACATCAATTCCTGCCGATGTTTCAACAAGACACGGGATAGAGAAGGGTCCCCTTTAAGGGGATGTCACCGGACTTTCACGGCTGGCATCTTACCCACGCGAGGGGACCCAGCTTGTACGCGCCCTGATTAGAGCGTCCGTCACGGGTCACTCAAACCGAACGTTGCAACTCTCACAGCTGGAAATTGGCAAATTACGTGAAAAACCACATTGTGTGTGCAGTCACCGGTGACCGATCGGGCTGACATCATCATATCCTCGCCACACTCGGGAACGCGGTTTAATCACTGCGGTTGAGAACCCGGTTTAATCACTGCGGTTGGGCTGCTAAAACCCGGATTCGAGTCCAGGATCTCAGCGGTGGCGGCTCCGTGTCTCCGGCCCGGCCATCATTACGAGTCCCCCACCACCCGGCCTCCTCTCTCCGTTTCACCGTCAGCGTGGCGGCGGCGGCGACGTCCCACCCGCCCGCCCGCCGTGTCGCTGCTGGGTTTGAGCTGCGGGTCCTCCAGTCCTCGCTCACGGTGATTGGGCATCGGTGGGGGGGGGGGGGGGATCCGTCGCGAACCGCGGCCTCGTCGTCCCAGAGGGGAAGGGGGACGTCGGTGAGGGCCGCACCTTAACGAACGCCAGCGGCGAGGCTCGGACTTTGCACGCTCGGCTAATGTTTAACCCCACCGCGCGTATTGATTCGGCTCAACAGGGGGTGGGTGGGTCGTGAATTACCTGAGGAGCCTCGGCCGGACGCCAGGTGCAGGGGCGGTGTGTTTACCCGCTTCTCCAGCTCCCAATGGGGGAGGGAGGCTCCCAAACCTCTCCCGTACCGTACGACCGACCAGGGATTGCAATTAGCGAGTGTTTGCAAACTCTGAACAGTTTCATAAATAATTATGGGGAGGGGGTGATGGGCGGCCACCACTGAACTTGGCTCCACCTGTGGTTTGTGGGAGTTATGTCATGATTTCTTGATTTATTTTCAACACCATTGCTGGCCCCAAAACGTCGGGCGGCTAGCAACGATCAGCACTATTATCAAATTTGCAATGGATAAGAGTGCGAAACGTTTGCTGAATTGAGCAAAGCTATTGTTATAAGAGCTTGTGGAGAAAAGATACGTCGCCGACGTGAGGAGGGAGTTTCACAGTGGAGCAGAGCGAGGGGAGGAGAGAGGGAAGTTTTGTAACCTGCGGTGTGGCGCGCGGGTGCGTGGGTGAGTGAGTGGGTTAGTGGATTAGCGAGTGGATGTGTGAGTTGTTGTGGCCTCCAGTGTGGTGGTGGTGGTGGCGGTGGCGGCGGCGGAGATGAAACAGTCAACACGGGTGGAAGGATCAAGGAGTGAAATTCACGGGAACGCTAACCGTGGTTGGAGCGATACGAGAGCGATAGGTGGGCGACTTCATCGCTTGAGATAGCGATGATGGCGACGATGGATGTGATTGCTCCCACTGCAACGGACATTGATGCAGCAGCCATCATGACGCAGCCGTCGCGATGTAGCCATCATAGCACAATAACTATAATCATGGCCGCGCGCGGTCATCTATCACTGCCAGCACAGTCCCGTAATTGCTATTAGTTCAGCCGCAGTCTCTCGCTCTGCTCATCACCGCAAGCTCCTCCTCGCCTTACTCCCTCCTCCTCCTCTTCCTCCCCGCTGCCCCTGTCGCCCCGAGCTCCTTCGCCCGGT